GACGCGGTGCGTTTGAGCCGGCTGTGGGTGACCCTGCTTCGGCAGGAGGGTTGGACTAGATGACCCACAGAGGTCCCTTCCAACCCTTACCATTCTGTGATTCTGTGAAGTCTTGGCTTCTTAACCACACTCAGTGAATGGGAGCACAGAACATGCTGACCGTGCACGTTTAACCATTAGCAGCATCTCCTGTCAGAGTCGGGTATAAAAGCCAGAATCTTTCATGGGGAGCAGGACAGTTGGGGGTTGTCACTTGACTTATTCTCTGGTAGTGGCAATCTGTTTATTAGTTCAGAGCGTCTGGTTTGCAGAACTGCTGAGGCCCAGCATGTTGAGCCCGTGTAAGTTTGTGTAAGAGAAGCTGTGTGCGGCTGGGCTGGAACAAGCTTTGGAGAAGGTGGTGACTTGGTTTCATGCTGTGGAGACTCAGCAGGCTTGAAGCTCCTGCGTTTCATGTTTCTCTGTTGGATTTTGTGGAAGGAAGCCTGTGCTAAGATAATTACACTGATGGTTGAATATCATCTTTGCTGATTATACAGTAAATAACTTTGTTGTATTTTTGTACTCTTTGGTATCTGTATTATCGATTTTAGTAAAATTTATGTTGGATTGTAGAGAGAAGCTAATTATGTTTTTTGTTGTTGTTTTGCAAGAAGCCCTTCTTCTGTTTGTTAGATGCTTCTTGCCAAGGCATGATTCTTTTCTTAAACTAGCAAAAATGTAGTGCAGTTAAAAAGTATTTTGCATATATGTGGCGAGTTCAGGAAAATATTTGGGCTCTTGTGCCATGTGCTTGAATGTAATATTTAAACCTGTCACAGCTAGTCCAGCTGTTCTCATAGAATATTTTCTAAGCTCTGCCACTCAAAAAAAAAAGAAAATAAATCATTATTAAGCTAATGGCCATAGTATTGCATATTTCAGTTTTACACAGTGGAACAAAAGTGCTTTAAAACTTCTGGGTCATGCTGCAATATCAAGATGACCACAGCTGTCTGGAGCACTTGTATAGCGACTTTGTGTTTCACACAACTGTATTGTTGTGTTTGCTTGATTCTTCTAAAAAAAGATTTTATACCTGCCTTGGTTCATCATAAATACTTTGCATTATTTCCTGACAAGAATCAGTACTTTGCTCTCATCAGTTAGTTAATCCAGTCTAATATCAAAGCTGCACCATCTCGGTTACTGAAGAGACAATACAGCGCGTTGGCAAACGTGTTGGAACATTTTCCAGTTATTTTGGCTGAGTCTTAGAGGAAGTGGAAAGTAATACAGATTAACTCAAAAGGCTACACGTTCCCTTAGATGCTCTGGAAAATAAGACTTAATACCAGAAGGTAATTGCAGTGGGTATCCAATAGCAGACCTTGAACTGTAATGTTCTTTTTCCCTCTTGCTGTAGTAAGAAAATTTTTGTTCTATATTTATTAGCCTCACCTGCAAAACCTTGGATTTTATTCTAAACAAGGTTGTGTACCACAGCAGAGAAATAAAACTCTCTTCATGTTACACAAATATTATTAGGTCTCACTAGTTGGTACTTTTTCTTCACCCCCTCCTATGTTCAGAGTTAATAAAATTTCAGTCTCCATGATAATATCTTGGAAATAGCTCAGGGAGGGCGAGTTACTTGCGTTACTTGGAGAAATAACAGATTTCAGCTATAGCGAATCTCGAGGTTGGAGTCACTGCTTGTTTATGGAGTTTGCCTTTCCTGCGTCCCCACAGAGCGATTCCCAGCAGTCGTGGCCTCCTTGTTTTCCCCCGAGCGGGGCCCGTTATCACGTCGCACTCTGGAGCCTGTGAGAAAGCTGCGGCTGGGCTGTCTCGCGTAGGCTTCGCCTGGCTGTGTGAACAGATTACAGCATTCCACTTGTTAGTACGAGCCACCGAGTTGAAATGTTTTACTATTATGTTACTGGGCAATGATAAAGTTGGCAGTCTTTTTATGGTTAGATCCTCTAAGTGGCAGTTCGTGTTTTAGCGATAAGGAGACAGAGCTTTGGATATCAGACCCAGACTTATTATCTGTAACAGTGAACCGTGGCTTGAATCCTTCCACAATGACAGGAACTCCATCTGGAGTGAAGGTTTCCAGAATCTGAAATGGGAGATACTGAGGCATTTTCCTTCCTCATGAGTCAAAGCAGAGTTAACCCCATTGTTATCAAAAACAAAAATAACCAGTCGCTAAGAGGAAGGATGCATTTTTATATTTAACGAATTCTCTTCCTTTATTTTAGAACTTGGAGTATAGTTTTCAGGCAGATCCAGGAGGCTGAACTGGCAGCCTTATGCTTCAAAGCTTTCACTCGATTGTTTTGGGATATTGAAAGGAGCAAGAATGAAAGTCCCATGCTGCAGTACTTAAAGTGGCTCTAATATTCTTCTCAAAGGAGGTCTGCTAGACAGGCTGTGTATTTCTTGCAAGGTCTTTCTTTATAGTAGCTAAATACAGCTTCTAATTAATTGTCTTGGGCACTGCATATGCGTGTTGACGCTCATCCCCATGTAAAGACATATTTGAATTCTATTTACAGAATTCTGTGGGTTGCAGGGGTTAAGCGTAATCCAGATTATACAGCGTTAACATTTTCCCTACTGATACCAAAGTGCAGAAGACTGGCAGGCTGACTTGTTAGGACGCGCTGGGAGAGGGATAAGGGGCTCCGACCTTGAGCGGCCAGCCCTTGTATGGCCAAGTCGCGGTCGGTGCCCAGCGGATTGGCGGAGGCGCGGGTCAGCGCGGGGACAGGCGCTGGGCAGCGACACCTGTTCTCCCCATCTGCTGAGTTAGGGGCTGCGTGTTCGTGGGAGTTCCAGATACCGTGTGCGATATGCCGAGCAAGCCAAGAAACTTGAGAAGGAATTACAGCTTATGGTGACCTGTGATATTAAAGAATTTCAGACAGCATAATTGAATTTTCAAGCACTGCTTTAAAACTGAAGTAGAAATAGGCAGTGTTTTGTGTATATATATGAATAGTGAGAAAGTTTGGTGTATTTCTTGTACTAAAAATGAGTAGACAGCACTTTAAGAAAAAATACTGATGAATACTATAGTCTAAACCAAAACATAGTTTGTTTTTTTCTGCCAGAAATTCAAAGAGCTTCTGTAGGAAAATGAATGCAATTTCTTTATGGTGCTGACAACTTCAGCTTGCAGATCTTGAATCCTTAGGGTTTTTAGTGTAAAATTCATAGAATATTGGTAAAAAAGAAAACACACAACCCCCTTCATGCCTGTTTAGTCCTACTGCTGCCTTATGTACTGCTAATGTGTACCTGTTTAAAAATTTATATTGCTCTCCTCTTGAAACTTTTTTGAAGCATTAAAGATTTTCCCATAGGTGGTAAACACTGTTTTGTTATAAATGAGAACTTGCAAAGAAAAATTTCTGATTGTGTAAAAGGGTGAAAAAGAAAACAAGGAATATAAATATCTTTTAAAATTTAGTCACAAGACCTGTAGTAGCTTATTTGTAATGCCTAGGTTGTAGACAAGTTCTGGTTTGGGGTTTTTTTTTTTTGGTTTGGTTTGTTTGGGGTTTTTTTGTGTGTGGTGTTTTTTTTTTTTTTCCCTGGGGGGTGTTGATGTGACCTCTCCATCAGAAAACAGGAAGTAGCCCAATAAAGCAGTTGCATCAAGTTAGTCTAAAGAAGTCTGAAAAAACTTACATTTAGCAAACTAAGTCATTTTAAAGAGGGATTATGTAATTCCTTTTTATACTTTCTCGCAGTTCTTGTTATTGTGCAAGATGAGAGAAGTGCAGGAGAATCCTGCCTTTGTAAACTCCTGAGATGAAGTGTTACTCATATTAATATACTGCAGTTGTTGAATTTGATTGAAAATTTTAGCCACTGTGTTTCTCAGAGTTTAACTGTATGCTCTTTAAAATGTGAATATTAAAATGGGGATGCTGAAATCAATTTATTAAAGATCCAGTAAACTGGCTTTTAGTCACCAATGATGACACTAACTCCTTTGCCATAGGCTTGAATGTTCCTTGTATGTCAGGCAACTCTGCTCTATCAGCCAGTACCTAAAAACGGTTTTGCGTGGTACACTGGAGAGATGAAATGGGTGTAGGTTCAAGTTACCCATGAGATGGCACCTGGGAGAGTCTGTGCCTCTGAATGAACCTTTCTCTTTGTGTGCTATGCCACTGTTTTGAAAGACTAAGCCTGTCTGTTGAGCAGTGAGTTTTGTCTGTGAAAGTTTCATGTAGTTTCAGTGGCTCTGAATGATTCAGTAGTATACAAAAATTCTTGGCAAGTTAGTATGATTTGTATGTGAATTTTCCAATTGTATTTCAGACCTTAAGAAAGAAAGGCCTTAATGGTTGTGAGAGCCCTGATGCTGACGATTACTTTGAGCACAGTCCACTATCGGAGGACAGATTCAGCAAACTAAATGAAGATAGTGATTTTATTTTCAAGCGAGGCCCTGTAAGTACTTTTATTTTATCTCTACTTTTTATTTGTTGATCCTTTTTATTAACTTCATTATTTAGGCTCTGAACAAGAAGGAACACAGAGGGTGCGACAGCCCGGACCCTGACACTTCATATGTGCTCACGCCACATACAGAAGAAAAATATAAAAAAATAAATGAAGAGTTTGATAATATGATGCGGAATCATAAAATCGCAGTGAGTACTAAAGTATGGTTTGTGCTTCTATTACGTGCATGAGAATTTTCACGGTGTTTGCTTACCACTGAAAACCACTGCAAAGACAAGAAGATGTAATGGTTTGAGAAGGGAATATATATTTTTGAGGAAGAAATGAGATGCTTGATGTTGAAGACTCGATCTTGTTAAAGTACATTTTATCTTAAAAAATAAGAAGATTTATCTCTACTTTCTCTTGTGCACTCAGTTTTTCATACCTTGTGAACCATGAGGTGACACTGCCAGGTTTCAGGAGCCTAAACTGCATTGCCTAATCCTACTTAAAATATTTTTATAAAGATAGATTTTGTCGTGGGATGTGGGATAGTTTATTTACATCTTGTAACTCTTTGTCTGTCTGTCAATCAAGATTTTTACAATATGTTACAAGCAGGCAGATAGAATTGGATTAATTTTGTCATCATATCAGTGGAATTTTATTTTGCTGAAGACTGGATATAGAAAGGTATTTAGATGTTAAAAGGTAAAGACTGGTGCATTGTGGGAGCTTCAAGACAGGTGTCTTACCTCTGTTGAAATTCCAACAGATACTTCCTTGGACGCTGAAAAATCTTGGAAAATTCTGTCCCAAGCACCTAATCCATTTGCAGCCATAAGTCACTTAATTGCTTTGGAAAGATACGATCTCCTATCCCATAGTGTGATCAGAGGATCATTTTTTATTTTAGTGTTATCCAATTAAAAAATGAAATTATCGATTTCTGAACCCCATATATTTACTGGGCAAATTGTTCATACTCTCCTCAGTTTCATATATCCCCTTCAATTTTGGGGTCTAAGGAAAAAAGAAATTTTATTGGAAAAGGGCTCTTGGAAGAGAATTATTGGGCTCTAGAACTCAAGAAGTTTGAGGATAACTAGTGCAAACCTTGCATGCTTTCCATGGAGGTGTACATGATGATATTTAATTTCCATCTACAAAAAACAATTAGTGTTGAGTATTACAGGGGAGGTATTTTCTAAGAACACTAATACAGGGCTCTGCCACAGCCTTTGAATTTTTTAACGTTGCAGATCTTGTAGTAATTAAAGTAAATGGGCTGGCTAGGTTAACCATCACAGACCCTGGGCTAATTGAGTAGCGTGTCCCCGAATGACTTGCTGATACTAGAAATTATTTCTTCTTTTGGAGCAATAAGACCATCTCTGGGGACTTAACAGAACGCTGACAGTCATGACGCCCAGCATACTTCCTTTAGCAAATTTTTTGTACTCGGATAAAGCAAATATCTTTTGTTCCTGTTTTGTTTTGAAGCTTTTGGTATCCAACACTTCTGCATTGAGACATCTTCTTCAGGCCTCATCTCTCAGTATAATACAGCTAAATTGCTCTCCCTTGATTTTCTGTGGTCTTCATGAACAGCCTAAATTGTCTGTCTGTGTGGACATCAGTGTGAATAAAAAGGGCTTTATAGTTCTGTATTTATAGCTTAAATTGGGCCTGTTATGGTTCTATTTCCAGTACTTATGGGTCTGTATAAGAACATAGTTGCTTTTGTTGTAGTGCATTCATTACTGTCAAAGGATAGGAATGAGGCAAAGAGTGAAGAATTCAGTCGTAACCAAATGAGTACCGTAGATGGTCAGAGGCAACCTTTATTGTAAGGTGCGGGGGGAAGCTGTCACTTATTACTTCTATATTGAGAAACCTACAAAAAAAATGTTCCAACTGCTTCTAGCTTCTAGCATTGTTTCAAGCATACTTCAGGTATTTCAAGTTTAGTTTGATTTACTTGACAGCATGCTGTTTAAACACAACCTTTTTTTGGTAGATATTAAGTAGTTTCCTGTGAAAACAAATACCAGTACATCTTGTCATGAGTTAGATACTGTGAATGGTTTGCTAGCATTACGTCACTATGCTTCATTACTTTTTCCTTCTGTCTGTGCCAAAAATTGATAATTTTTCTTAGGAATGCTTCAGTAGGGGCACCGTCGTTGGCTCTCAGTAGTAAGAGATTTTGTTTCTTGTAGAAAATGTATTATGCTCTTTTAATTAGTATATTTATTGTTATATTTCTAGTATGATCAAATTTGTCATACAGAAGTGTCATTGTAAGTAGATTTTGAGCTCAATGTGACATTATTGCGTCTTTTTAAGTATACTTGCTAGGTCGTGAATGTTTGTCATCTGCATTTGAGCTCTAAATCGAAACTTTTCTCTCTCTATTCTGTCAATAAATACTACTGAATTTTTACCCTTAAGTTGTACCTGTCATGGTTTTGTTTCCAGTAATTATGAGAGTTGTGAAAGAAATTAGTCCCTTTTGTTTCAGAAACTCATCACTGTCAAAGGGTAGGAATGAGACAAAGGCCGAGGAAGTTAGTCATAACCGAATGAGTACCATAGATGGGCAGGCATCTAAGCATTTGATTCAAATAGTTGTTGAATAACAAACATACATACTTCAGAAAAATAGTTGCCTTTTAAATAATGGTGTAAAAATTAGATTTTTTTTTTTTTTAAATGAGAGTTGCAAAAAAGCAAGATGAAGTGGTTATTCAAGCAGGGTTTTGTGGAACACAGCTCAGAATAATGACTGTTGAAATGTTTAGATGCAAATTACTGAACTTAGTGAATTTCCAAAGATCTGTTTACTTTTTTTTTAGTCTGTTGAAGTTTTAGAGATAGCAGCAAGATTTTGGCAAGGTTATTAATAGAAAATGTTATTACTAACTTTTTCTTTTTTTGTGTAATAACTATTCTATAATGTGCATGTTTATGCTTAGATTTTGAAGCTGCAACAGTTCATTGACTTATAGACGTGTTTAGCTTGTTATTGCTTTGTAATAATCCAGATTAACTGATAATTTGATGTATTTCTGAGCTTGCAGATTCATATGAATATCTTCAGTTTTTTGTATTTGAACTTTAAGTGTTTTAGAAGTTTGAGTAATTCTTTTGGAACTGTATTTCTATGATGTTGTAAGAGTTTAACACCATACTGTACAACAAATGGATGTGTTTTAAAATTGTGTGTTTAACAGTGTTTAAAAACTAACATAATTAACTTCTTTTTTTCTTTAAACCTGAGTAATTCTGGGCAGACTTTAATGTGTATTTTTGTAATGTGCTATTTCTGCAAACATAGTTAATGCTAATATTATTGTCTTGTGTGTATTCCTTGTCATCTTTCCTCCAGCCTGGCTTGCCTGCCCAGAACTTCTCGATGTCGGTTACAGTTCCAGTGTCCAATCCCAACACTTTAACCTACAGTAACCCAGGGAGTTCCCTTGTATCCCCATCACTGGCAGCCAGTTCATCGTTAACGGACACGACCATGCTCTCGCCACCTCAGACCTCCCTGCATCGGAACGTATCACCTGGGGCCCCTCAGAGACCACCGAGTACTGGTAACGCAGGTGAGATTTCAGTACTGTTTTGCTTTCCTCTTATACCCTCTTATTTTTTTTTTTTAATCAAAAAAAGCCCCCACAAACAAACACACGTAACAAGTTCTTACTGGTATTGGTGCATCTTCTTTTTTGTTAGTGGCCGAAGTTTTGAAGTACAAAATGATATGATACTGTAATGAGAGCAAGTTAGTTTAATGCTCTGGCTTGTTTTCATTAGGTGGAATGCTGGGGACAACTGACCTCGCAGTGCCAAATGGAGCTGGTACCAGTCCAGTTGGTAAGTGCGCTGTCATGTCTTTGTTGAAAAATAGCATTTTGCTTTTAGCTTCACAGTTACCCAAAAGCAAGGGGTTTTTTTGACTCTGTTGAAAAAATGGTTATGGAAGAACAACAAAGGTCATAATTTTGTTAGTTGCCTTGTAATTCTCATGTCTTGTAAATTCTTATCAGGCATTTAACTTAGTACTGCCATACCCTTTTCACTCTCTTGCATTTTTTATTTTAGTGGTTTTCAGTAGTAGCGTGCTGCTCTTGCTTTTGTGTTTCTCTAACAGGTGTAATTATAGCACTCTAAAGAGATCTTACGGTCACCAAATTTCTTACTTTGTATGATATTCACTGCTCTTACTAAACTATTACATTACAGACAACTCAGCTGTGTTCTCAAGTTTAGCATTCACAAGAGCTGGATATTTGATGCTGGTTGTGGTGCCAATCAAAATGAAGAAAATACAGATTGTATTGTTTGTATTGCCATGTATATCTTGCTGATTATTTTCTAGCAGTTATACAAAGAAAGCAATAAATCTTGGAAGCTGACAGCTAGGTTCTGTCTTAATTTTGGAAGATTATCAGAATTCCTGTCAAAAACAAATCCGAGATCTTGCCAAAAAATCAAGTTCACAGTATTTTTTGCTCTTCAGTAAAAAGATATGATAGCGCTTTTTCATTTAAACAATGTTTAGTCTCCCCTAAACAAAATTTAGTCCTCTGACAGAGGGCAGGCAGCTGCTGAAATTTATCACGCCACAGAAAGAGAAAACAAATGACAGTTCACCCACTTCCTTCATGTTCCTTCTGTTCCTTGAGATGTCTAGGTAACTGAAGGTCAATTTTGGAAATACACATAACTCTCCTTGGTATGTGTTCCTAGCAAGGAATTAGAGAAGCAACTGTTGACCTTTCAGTATTTGCCCACTGGCTACTTAGTGTGGCAACTGGGAAAAAGTTCTTTCAAGATAAAGTCAGGCAATTGAATTTATGAATAAAAAATGCTGCAACTACAAGGCTGAAAGCACAGGATTGACTTTCCAGTGTTCATCCATTCTTTAGCTGTGTACAGCAAAGATGAAATATTAAAGTGTGTTTTCCATCAGGTAAGCAAGATTTTAAATGGAGGAAACTTCTTCGGTTGAAAAAATACTACTATATTTAGAAACTGTGGAGTCAGATGTTGATTTCCATAGTATTTCTCAAGTCAGACTAATTAAGTTTATTATCAAGCTGTTTCAGGCCTCTTCCAAATTCAGGCTTTAGTTACAGCAGCCTCAGATTTAAGACTCCTCCTTTCAATAAGCCAATAAAACAGTTCTTTACAGCCCACAGTTCTGTACAGCCCTGGCTATAGAATATTAAACTGTAGAAATACGCAGCTAGAGCAGCTTGGTGAACATATTTAATGCAGTAAAATGTTTTCCTTCTTGCATTTATTAATAGTTTATGTGAAAAGTCAAAATGCATCGCTTATCTCTTACTTTCCAGAACATCGCACCCAGAATGTTATAAATATACCCACTCATTTCTAGAAAGATATTTCATGCAAGTAAGAGCTGTGGCTACACAAGAACAGTGGAACATGGATAAGAAATACCTCTAGCAAAACTCAGTTGCCTAGTTAACACCAGAATGTTAAGCCACAGAGTACCCCAAGTTGTCAGAGCTCCACTTTCATCTAGGATATGGCATGGCCTCTTTTAAATGCTGTCAGGTGCACAGTAACCTTCTCAGCTGCAACCAAAATCAAGAAACCATACATAACCAGACAGAGTAAATCTGCTAACTTGTCGATTAGAGCTTGACAGCTGCCATTGAAGTGTGTATATCAAGTTAATTATGTCTGCAGAGAACAATGGTTTCAGTTTCTTGCTACATGTATTGTAGAATTCACTTTAAAAAGATACATTTTTCTTCTTTTAGCTTTCAATATTTTCTTTTAAACTACTCAGGAATGGAGTATTGTCCTATGGATATAGTTGGGAAAGGTCATGTGTCAAATTTGCAGTTCCCAATTTATAGAAGAGATGTCAAAGATAAAGATGGAGTACTGGGATACCCATATTCTTATTAACCTTTATCTCTGAATAAAAAGCAAGTAAAGGTTATCTTGCATAGTTGGGATGCAGTTCAAACAAAGATGTTGCGTAAAATGGCTCATATTTAGTTCATTGGTCTTTTTCTCAGGTCCTGTGTAACTTGATTGTAATAGATATGATTTCCTTTAGCAGTCAATATGCCAACTGAACAGTTTTTTCAGTGGAAAATAACTTTGAGTAAAAATATCTGCGCGTTGTAGCAAAGATTGGTAGGTGATTTTTTTTAAGCTTAGAACAGAAAATTTTGTGATCATTTTATAATACTGAGAGCTTATTTCACATGCAGCTGTCATAACTCTGAAAAAGCATTTTTATTTTGTAATATTTTTAAAACTTTACCCACCACATAAAAACGAGTGCTGAAAATTTTTACTTGGCACGTATATCAACTTTGAGAGGGGGAGAAATGTCCAGCATTATAACAGTGTTTGCTTTTAGCTAATGTATTTTTTCTGTTAATTGCATCAAATGTTTTGGTGCTAGAATTTTCATGATAGTGTTTGCCCATGTTCAGTGTCAAACCCTGTTGAGATTGTGATGGGCACTTAATATGCTTTGAGAATCTCGTATCACCAGGATATGTGCAACTTGCTATTTGTTGTCAATATCATGGGTTGAACGTATGCTGCAGGTCTATATTACTCCTTTCAAAAGGCTGTGGATTCTGATTAGGCAAAGTATAGCCTCACTTATTCTGAGTACCCAAATATGGGGAGAGTTTTTGACTTTGATCTGAAAGGACTTGATGGGTGGATCACCTTCAAATTTGTCATGAGGAGGTCTGCTTCACCATCTTCTGGTAGATTCAGCATTATACTTTGTATCATCCAGAGTCTGCCTATGAAGTGCACTTCCAGTGAAGTTGTCCCATCCTTGAGGACTCTGAGGATCAGAAAGGCTCGAAAGAAGTTCCACTGTTAACCCAATCTCTGCTTTCTCTTCCATAGCTTTCATGTATGGCATTGAGCTAGAACCACCCAAAGGGTCTGAGCTGGTTTCATTGCCAAGTCTGTATGAAAACCATAAACCCGGAGACCTTGAAATTAATGCATTCCCTAAGTTCTTCCTTGTCCTAGGTGATTTTGAAGGAGTTATTGGAAGCAGAGGCTCTTTAAGATCTCTCAAGGACACAATGTTGTCTGTCTATGTGTGTGTTTGTCAGTGAAGTAGCCCTTCTGGTCAGTGAAGCAGATTATGGACCCAGTTAATCTTCTGGGAAATGATATTTCCTCTTAAAATTTAATCATCGGGAGAATGGAGAAGAAAGATCTAGTCTTCTTGAGTTCTGAGCTTCTCTTTGTTCCAGAGCTGTATCTTCTCTGATGTCCTCACTAATCTTCAGATCCTGAGAATGTGAAGTAACTGTAGGAATATTCTTTGGAATAGAGCTGAAGGGTACACCTGCTTGAAAAACTGTGTCTTGTGAGCTGTTGGATCTCTATTAAGAGCTAATCTAGATAATGTGTCATCTTTTTTTGTGGCCTCCTTATGCAGAGGTGCAACTGACAGCTTGCACGCACCTGTAAACTGCTTGTGTATTGCCGGAAAGGGATCGAGACAGAGAACTGTGGAAGGCCACACCTGTAAATGGTTGCCTTGCTATTGAGGGCTCGGCTGATTAGGAGAGCTTTTTCTGCACGTCTGAGGATAAAAGAATCTTTCAGCTTGGTCTTTCACCAGGCTGAGTCAAGTGGCTAATATGCTGCAGTTCTTACGAGTGCACTGGAAGGCCTCAGTAACAAAACAGCTTTCTGTGCATACCTTTCTGTTGGTGTTGTTTATTAAATGAGACAGCTCAATGAGAAGTATCCAGCTAACTCTGGAATAACATACCTCTTGCAGGTGTTTTGCTTGAAACTGGATTGATGCTATCTGCCTCTTCCTTAAGAAAACAGACTTTCTTCTCCCTCCACCCCCTCTCAAACTCACCAGCCTGTATGATCTGCATCAGCTAAAAAGCTTGGCACTGTTGTAGACAACCACCTTAGGAAAGCAGCTGTAAACCTTGAGCATATTCGTACTTAAGGTGATGAGTTAACTGCTGGTATTTCTTATCTGCTATACTTTCTCTTCAGTGTGACAGGTAGTATCTGTCACAGGTAGTCTTTCGCTAGACAGAGGTCCTCACTTCCTAGCTTGTATTGAAAGGGGTTTGACCTGAGAATCTATGTTCGACTGATGCTAAATGCAGTGGACAAAGGTTCTTGTTCTGTAATGTCAGTAGTACTGGCATAATGTTTTGCCTTGCTCTGATCGTCAGGATTACTCAGGGAAATACAGCAGTCAGTGTTTCACCCTTCTCCAAGGAAGAAGTTGAAGGATCCCTGAAGAATGCTGAGAGCAGCCTATTTATTCTTACAGCTTCCAAGCTCTCCTCAAGGAAAAGGAGTACTCAAAGTGGACTGCAGGCCAGCTGTTCCACAGGGTGCGAGCTGAACCCTTTTCCTTTGCTAGACATTGGCAGTACATGACAAAGTTTGACCCATCCATCATCCTCTGATTAGATCAACTCACAAGAAATGACTGGCTGAAATCAGCATGAAAAACATGCTGGTAGAAGAAAGCATTTGAGGTCTTGTGGTTTTGTTGTGGTGTGGGGTTGTTCTTTTTTGTTTATTTTTTTTAATTGTAGCAATCGCTCCTTGGAAACCACCCCTCTGCATTGTGGTCAGTTCAGCCCCTGAACTACCCTTGGATTTTAGTTGAAATTTCATATATTGTTACGTGTATTCATTATCTTACCATAATTTCTGATGTACTAAGAGATACAAGACAATTCTGGTTAGAATTTACCACGTGTATAACAAATTATTAATCTTCCAGCTGGATTAAAGTATTGCAGCGCATCTGTTTGTACAAATGTTGAGACTTCACACAATGTCATCTTGCCTGGGACACACCACCA